TGCTGGGGTTAAACCACGACAAGTCCTGCATCTACCAGCTAGCACATGCCTGTTTTGGCTCCAATCTGCTCCCTCAAGTAACCCTAGGAATTCTGTGGTCACCATTCCTATTCGGCTTCTAATTGCAAACAGGGTGAATGAAATTGACAGTTCTCATGTTTGAAAAGCGTAACTATCTTCTTGTATGCTGCTGCTTTATCAGCCAGGTAGAAGTATCGAAGCCATGAGATCTTTCAGGAGCCCAATATTAGCCTTTTCTTCTGTAAATGAATAAACGAGCCAGAACATTAATCGTGGAAGAGTCAGAAGTCTTTTTAATACTTGATCCTTGCAAACCCTATTGACTTAATGATGTATTGTATAGGTGTTTCAGTGAAATGGAAGAATAACATCATTGGGCAGCTCTTCCCAAGGTAGCTCACAGTCAATTTTTACGCTAAGAATTACATATGTAGGTTGAGAGAACAACAACAAGTATGACAGAAAGTGACAAGAAAGTCACGTTTCTTCAGCAGGTTAGTGCAAATAAGGGTGGTTTTTTCAGATGATGGTTGTCTCTCCAGAACACAGGGCCTCAAAACACTGGTACACTGACATTCCTCACACAGGAGGCAGCATGTCTGCTAAGTACCAATGTTAGTAATCCAGTTACATAATGTTTTGATGACCTCAGCTCTATCTCTTTGTTTCATTCTTGCCAGCAGAGCTTTCAGCTCTCATCCCATGTGGGAGATGTCTCAGGAGGCTGCTTAAAGTGCTAAATATTTCGGGAATTCTTCATTATGTTGAAGCAGTAGTGTAGCTGAATAACTAATTCAGAAGAAATGTATGCAGAAGACAATACAGGAGGTCAATGTCAAGCTGCAAACTTTTGTAATCTAATTTATGCTGCCTTTTTTTACTTTGTTTTATTTTATTTATTTTCTCCAGTGACTCAGACTTTTTGTCCTCAGAAAAAGATAAGCACTTTAAATTTGTTGCAGCAATTAGAAACTGTCTCCAGTGATTATTTTTATGCAACCGTCTGCACTAGTAGCCTTCATGAGTAGATAATGATAACAAAGCAGATAAGAATAAGAAAATTTGATTGATCTTTGAGTGATGCAAACCTCTCTAAAGTTTTATGTGTTTTTCTCATATTTTATATCCTTTTCTTGCATTAAGTGAGGAGAGGCTGATGGGAATTAGATTACTCTTAGCCAGACTGAGGCAGTGTAGAGCTGTGGGCTTTCCTGGTATGTGGATTTTCAAGCCTAAGTGTTTTCAAAGATACAGTGGTCATTGTCATTTTTGCAAGTGTCCGAGAACAAAGTGTAGATTGGTGTGAATGCAATACTTATTTGAGATTTCTACCAAGGGGAGAGGAGGTAGTGTTGCTTCTGTTACATTGCTTAAGAAATGCTTTGCTGTCTGAATAGCTAGTGTGCATGAAGCAGACATAGCTGTGTAACTGACCCCAAAATAAGTGCAGGAAGTGGTTTATACAGTAATATTATGAATGCAAAAAACCATTTAGGTTATTAAATTGTTGCCTATATTTTCTGTTTAACTCTGCCCTTCGCAGTCACTTTAGCCTTGCACAGTGCCACCATTCTCAGAAGGTACCTCTGGAAAAGCAGCAAGTTCATAAATAAAGTGCCAGATCCTGCAGCAAAGTGCTAGGTGAAAATCACAGTTTATGTTTGAATTACTCTAGACAGAAATGGAATTTTTTCTTGCTTTTCCCTAGCAGCACAATTCTCAGGCATGGAAGATTGCATCTCTAAACCTCTTTGGAATCTATTTATTCTTCTAGATTATTTTTTAGAGGATGTTTGTAACTGGATTGTGTTTGTTGAAAATGCAAATGTGGTTTGTGGTAGGCTTGCCTATCCATGGAATCCAGACTTCAGGTGATGACAGTGAGGGTGGAAGCAGTGCAGTAATTCTGGACAGCACACTAAAGAAACCTTTTTTGACCTGCAACACATAAAAAAATTAGAAAGGTTTTTGATGTCTTGCTCATATTTATTCTCATCTCTTTATGACTGAGTGTGGCTGTGCTAGGTCATGATCCAGCACCTAATTGTAGTTACCAACTTCCCTGTTTGAGTTAGGCTACACGTAGCTCTATGTTGATGATAAGTGATACACTGTGCTGTAAAATGTTTATCAGGTGACTGGATGCTATCTGCTGTCAAAAATATAGTCCTTTGAACTTGGTCATTTTCATTTCTCAATGAACATTGGACTTGCAGTATCAGTATGACACTCTGGCTTTTTACCTTTGTACCTAGGAGAAAGAGAAGTAGCCAAGCATAAAACGCATAGCTTCTGCTACAGAGCAACAAAGGAGACAATGTCTTCAGAAACAGTACAACAGGAAAGTCAGACACCTCCCATAAAGCGATCTGGATGGGTAAGCTGGTTTCCTCCCTTTTATTTTGATGCTATTACTGATGAATAACTGGGATTTTGCCTGTCGCTCTTGTTGAAGAGAGAAACAGTTGTCTGTTTTCTTAAGCATATAAATGAAGAGAAGGGCTATGTGCTATTTTTCCTTCTTCAGAAACAGTACAACAGGAAAGTCAGACACCTCCCATAAAGCGATCTGGATGGGTAAGCTGGTTTCCTCCCTTTTATTTTGATGCTATTACTGATGAATAACTGGGATTTTGCCTGTCGCTCTTGTTGAAGAGAGAAACAGTTGTCTGTTTTCTTAAGCATATAAATGAAGAGAAGGGCTATGTGCTATTTTTCCTGGTTCACTATGCTCAGAGGGCTAGGAGTTGTGAGTCTTAAGGTTAAGGCTCTGATATATGCTGGGCTAGTTAAACTAGTTATGAACTAGCAGAGCTGTAGTGTCTGAGTACAAGTCCAGTATGACCTGTCCCCATCAGGTTATGTATGCACATGTATTCAGAAGGAGAAAAGGGAACACCACTGCACAAGAATCTGCCTTCCAGCTGTACAAATGATGGGCATTCTCCTCCGATGGAGATATCAAGAAATTTAAATGTGGAATGACCTTGTTGCTAACTAGTCACTACCAGAGAGCAGCAAAACTGGGCTGATCTGCAAGGAAAAAGGGACCTGGGAGTCATGAGTGACAGCAAGGTGGCAGGACTGGGACCTCAGGGACAAGGAGTGCAGTCCCACAGTACCTCAAAAAGAGGGGGAGAGCAGATCCAGTGCTAACAGGGTCAGCCTACAGTCGATTCAGCGATTGCCAAGCAAGTCCATAGGAGCAAGACAAGTCTGATGGTAAGCCAGGAGATCAAGCTGGCAAGGCATGATAGAGATCTTTGTAGTAAAAGACCAGGTACAGGCATACCTACAACAGTTAAGTTAAGGACCTGAGCATACATGCAGCTCCTGAGCCAAAGGGCAGAGGCCCTGGGCAAAGCCCCTTGCAGCTCTTTCTCCCAGCTTCGCTGTTTTCACAGCAATCTATTTCAGTGTTGCACAACTGTGCTGTATTGGAGCTGACTTTGAGCCCAAGCAACTAAACTGGCAGGATGTGTATGGAGGCAGAAAGGTTGCAAAGCCTGTTGGTGCACTTAGGGCCCTGACACTCATTTCCTTATCTTTCAGCCTGTTTGCATTTTATTGTATTCTTTGTGACCTTGCTCTGAAACCAGTTTGAAGTGGTTCTCTAGGGGCTGGAGAAGAGTCAGTTCTATACTGTTTACCAGGCTGCACCACCATTAACTTTCGTGTGAGCAGTGCTTGAAGAAGGACTGAGATATTAATTAGTAAAATGTGAAATCTGTGGCTGTGGCCAATAAATGCATTTTATTATTATGGTTACAAAATCATAGATCAGTTGGGTATAAAATGAGGTAAAATCCTGTAGGAGACAAATAGGCTCTTTTTCCCAAGGCATTGCTTGTTCTGTGATATCTGGTTTTGCTCTTAAGAATGTTTGTAGATGTGTTTTTACAGAAAAATGTAAACATTTCAATTAATTTTAACTTAATGACAACTCCTTTCCCCCAGCTTTTCTTGCTGAGCACAATGTCATGTGATAGGAGGTATCCCTTGGGTCAGCTGGGGTCAGCTGTCCCAGCTGTGTCCCCTATCAGATGCTTGTGCACCCCCAGTCTCCTAGCTGGTGGGGCAGCCTGAGAAACAGAAAAGGCCTTGACTCTGTGTCTGCTTAGCAGTAATCAAAACGTCCCTGTATTATCAGCACTGGTTTGGTCACAAATCCAAAACCTAACACCATACCAGTTACCGTGGAGAAAATAAACTCTTCCCCAAGCCAAAACCATCCATATATTTCAGATGTCCAATAATGACACTACAAGTGCTAATGCTGAAAACTGAGTCTTCTCTTAAAAAAAGAAAAATACTCCCCTTATATCCACATGCCAGTACCCTGGATAGTGGAATGCAAGAGAGAATATTGTCACTTTTCTCTCACAGTCAAAATGGGGGAAAAAGAGCTGTTAACATAAAAGGAACCTCTTAGTGAGCTGTTTCAGATGTCCAATAATGACACTACAAGTGCTAATGCTGAAAACTGAGTCTTCTCTTAAAAAAAGAAAAATACTCCCCTTATATCCACATGCCAGTACCCTGGATAGTGGAATGCAAGAGAGAATATTGTCACTTTTCTCTCACAGTCAAAATGGGGGAAAAAGAGCTGTTAACATAAAAGGAACCTCTTAGTGAGCTGGTTTTTTTGAGGGTGAAGCCAGTATGGTTGAGTTCAGTTAATGCCATGAATGTGTTTCAAATGCTCAGAGAGAAAGTTTTGCTAGGCAGGAGTCTGACAGAGTTTATGCTGACCCTCTTCTGAATACCTGCAAAATCTGCTCTTACTTCCATAGGGGTCAGAACTTTATTGTTGGAAACTGCCACTCTGCCTTTATTTCCTGTCATTTCTTTCCCAGAACGATGATGTAGCTCATAAGAATGAAATGACTAACAGAAATAAAGCAACATACTTCTGGGGTAAGCAGCAGCTCAGCTATTTTAGGAAAGCACAGACCAACAGGATGAGTGGTTTTAACTTAAAACCTATGTAGTTCTTTCTCTTTCTGTATTGGGGTATCAAGTATTTCATTACACTGCAAACAACAGAGTAAGGAGTTTTCCTTGGTTGGTGGTTTTTCATATTGTATTTTATTTGATTGTTCAAATAATTTATCCTCTTTAATTGATTTATTTTTTCCTTCCTGTGAGATTAAATTCAAGAAGCTAACCTAGGTTTATCCTTTCAGCCTTTCTTTTGTCCCATCTCCCAAATGCAAGATGCTGGAGAAATTGCAAGGACCCTTAAAGAATGCAAACAGGAAAGTTTCTGGTACAGAGGTGAGTGATCCAAAGTTATTATTATCTTAAGCACTGTGTTATCATAGGGTTAGTAAATTTTTTTGCATAATCATTGTAGGTAAAGGTGATTGAATTAAGCTCTTGTTTAGTATGAACTTTATCAATCACAGAGTTGGTTCTATTCTTGAGGTCCATTACAACCACCTTAGGAACGTTTTGCTTTGAATGAAAAGTAGGCATGGCTATGTGTCTTGGGTTTGTGAAATTCTTCAGGTGTTAGGACATCTAAAAGATTAGTGTTTTAGTGCCTTTTAAATGCACCATGTCAGTTTTGTATCTAAATTACACATTTTCTGAATGGAGAAATTTGAAAAGTGTTTGAGCATTTCATCAGCACTGCTGTCATTACTGGTATTGCAGTAGTGAGAGGAGGTAGTTAGAGAATGGAAACTAATATTCGATAAAAATATATATACAATGTATTAGCTTCAGACATTACAGCATGGCTGATGTCTGGTGCTGTGTGAACACATCCTTGCTTTTAAGAGATTGTAATCCGAATCAGCAGATGTAATAGGTTAAGACAGTAGGCAAAGTTAATGTTTAGAAGTAATGTGTTTAATATTAGAAACATGTAAAACATTCCATTTGTAAGAGAGTAAAGTAACACATTTTGGCTAGCACCAGCTATTCTCCTCCTTTTTGTTTTTACAGCTCTTCCTTTGTCTCTTGGGAGCATGCTTGTCACCCAGGGGCTGATCTCAAAAGGTAAAGATTAAAAAATACATTATTAAACTGCTGTTTTTTCAAGATCAATAATCCTCTCACTCACCACTGCTATTGTTACAGTGATTTGATCACTATGTATGCGTTGCCACAGTCATTCTTTTGAAAGGGCATGAACTGAAAACAGAAACTGTGAACTCAAAGACTGGTGGCAGGATTCTGTCACCATGATCACATGTATTTGAGTAGCAGGTTGTGGGGCAGAGCATTGTACAACCCAAGCAGGGGCATCAGAATCAGGTACTGTAGCTCTAGCTGCTGGTTTATTTGAGAAATGCTGACAATGTTTTTACAGTGACTATATACCAATATATCTACAGCTTCAATGCAAAGGGGCAAGGAATACTGCCAAAGTGAGGAGACAAAGAGCTTTTTATAGTGATGGCTTGTGATCTGCAGTCTAGCACAAAAGAGAGTTGTATTGTGTTTATGTGCAACATGAGCTGGTTCTACACACGGTGCCTTGAGTTTTCCTGCTGGGGGTCTTGACTAATTATAGAGTGGAGGTTAGCATTTTGGCTAAAGGGTGAAAGGCATCCACCCAGAAGACTGCTAGGGTATCACACAGGAGCAAACAGGACAGTCCTTCAGCCTGCATCAGCAGCCAGTTGCAGCAAGGGCAGGTAGGAGAAGAAAAAAATCACAGGGCCTGAAGCAAGAAGCAGAAAAGAATCCAGGGGAACTGTAAGAATTGGGTGGTGGGAGACTCAAGAGGTCAATGGGGATTCCTTATTGCATCCTTGACCTATGAGCTTGTAGGCAGACAGGGAGGGAAGGAGCAAGGGAGCCTCTGGATATTCCTCTTGGTTTCTCTTCATTGTACTTGGATGTTTCTGATCAGCTGTGAAATAACAAATGCCTTTATTAAGTAATTGTTACTGCTTGTCAACAATTGGAGGGGGGTTGATTAGAAACAAAAAACACTTTTGTTCCTCCCTCCCCTGAGAGACCCTGTTCAAAATTGCATCGATGCCAGTGGGCAAGGGCCCTTGTGCTCAATGCTGCTCTATCTAAACACTCCTTTCTGATGCCTGCACACAGTCCCCTGCCCCTGGAAAAAGCTGGAGCTTCTAAGCCTCATTATTACTGACTGAATGCACATAACAGTTCACTTCCCTTCCCTTTGCCATGGTAATTTTGTGTGGAGGCCTCCTCCCCAGCATGGCACCCCTCTGCCAACACCTCTCTGAGGAATACTGGTTTCACCTCCTGATGGTAACTGGGGGAAGGTGGATTTTGGTGGAAAAGCTTAAGATGATTTTTTGGTTTTCTTGTTTATTACAGCATATTCCCTTCTTAAAGGCCAAAATGTATAATCTTTCCTCTCTAGAGGAGGAGACTAGATACTTACTAGTGGTACAGTTTTAATCAATAGCCACAGAAAACTACCAAAGAACAGTTTCATCCTATTTCTCACAGCACAAGTTCTGGACCCTGAGTAAGAGAATTAATTCTGCCACTTTATTTGCAGGGTAGGTTTGTGCTGAAACATGAGCCACCATCTCTTCCTCCTGCAATGCTGCAGGTGTCACCAGTGGCAGACATGCTGCTTTCATGCTGGTTTACACTCCTGTCTGAACTCAACCCTGCAAAGTTCAGATGCTTTTCCTCCAGTGGCTATAGAACTGCCCCAAAACACATGCACTAAGAACTAGAGGAATGGAAAGTGTCCTGATGTTCCTAAATCTGAGTTAGTGGACTTTTAAGTTTTTCATTCAATCTTCACCTCAAGATATGCAAAAGCTTGTAGGAAAAATACTGCCTTCATGTTGAGTGCTGGTGAATTCCTCAAGTGAATAACCTTTCTGACTGTTTCCTTTTGTTGTAGGTATTTTCTCAGCAAACCCACGATTTGGTCCATATCCCAAGATGGCAAGTAAGTTGTACCCAATTCTAAAAGGAAAGGAAAAGTTACTTACAGGCAACATGCAGACCTTAGACGCATCTCTCTGAATTTCTTCCCAAACTCCTCCTTTTTAGGAATTTATCTCTTTAGGAAATCAGAATTCTGATGTGTTTAAAAATAAATGTATGAAACAAGATGCTTTTAATGTAAACATTTTCAGTAGCAGCTTATATTTACTAAATACAACCTCTCAAATTGGTAAAACCTCTAGTAGCAACTTTGTTTTATAAATAATGTCATCCTCATTGATCAGCTGTACTTGGCAGATCACGCAGCTTATCAGGGAGTCATGGTACTGTGATATATGAAACAGTATCTTCCTCTTTCTGTGTTCATTTGATTGATCTCAACTGTCTAATTCATCACCATGGATTGATAAAGAAAACACACACAAGCACAGAAACTGTACTGTACAGTAAGGTGGCTCTTAAATGGTGAGAAGTAAATCAATTCCCTCTTCAGTAAAAGTTCAACATAAAACTGAGGATGTTGAAGTAGTCTTTTATTCTGAGTGAACACCACAGTGTGACAGTGTGGCAGACTGATGTTCTAGCTTCTTAGAAGTCCAGAGAAGTTAGTGTCAAAATTGTGATCATTAGAAATATACCATGGTGTGCAAACAAGAGCAAGAACAATTAGTGCTGACATTGTGAATTAATTTTATTGTGGGCTATCTCTATAATCAGTTCCTCTAAATTTGAAGTCTTGTAATTTCAGCTGAATATTATATCCTTTTCCTGTATGCATTGTTTTGGACCAGTTGCTATCTGTCATGATAGGTAGCCAGTTTTCAGTAGTTATTGAAATCATCCCTATAGTCCCTGTATAACTTCACATGTGTTTGTGACATGTTTTGAGAAGACATGCAGTGTACAGTTTGTCATATGATTAAAGTGGAGCCAGTAGCAGACTGGTGCTTTAAGCTCTTGTATTAACAGTGTTTTGTCATCTGCCTTTGTAGTTGCTGGTGTCTTAGGTTTTGCCATTGGAAAGATGTCATACATGGGAGAGTGCCAAAAAAAGTTTCAGAAAATTGGTATTGCACCATTTGGTCCACAACTAAAAAGGTTCGTGCTTATTTACATTATTAATCCTAGATGTAAAAACATCTAAAACATAGTTAAAATTATATGCATCAAAACTATGAATTTTAATTCTCTGATCAGGTCATGAGGTGCTACTCATAGCTACATATGGCAGTATTGGAAACTACTATGTATTCCTCAGAAAATGCAAATTAAACTCAGTGTAATACCTGTTATTGGAATATATGTGGTTTAAATTAAATTATTGTACTGTTAGGTGTGATGCAACAACAGTTACTAGTTCTCTTTTCATCTAGTATTATACCACTAAGATTGTCCATGCTATCACTTTGGCCCTTTGAGTCTTCCTTTGTGCCATACATCAGGCCAAAGATGCTACAGGGCTTTTTCACAGTGTCCTCATATTTTAGCAACAGTTTCAATCTCAGCCCATATTCCAACTTCCTCCTCTGTGGCTTTGCCCAACCTCATACTGTCATGCCAAACCATGAAGAGCACAAACTGCAAGGGTATTTTTTCTGCCTTGCAACTCTAACCATAGGATAGATCTCAGTGATTGACTTCTGTCACCTGGAACCTTCATGTTTTAGTCATTGTTTTCTCAGTTTCATGTAAAGTTCTCCTTCCCATCAAATCAGACTCTGACTTTCATCCAAGCTCTTCCTTCAACTGCCTGTACTACTTTTCATTCTCAGTAGGCTTCCAGAGGTACCTTTGACACACAAAATACATTTTCAAAAATCTGTCCATAATATCATTCTCCTCTGTTTCTCCCTTGACCAGCACGAGCTTTTATGCTTATAAAAATGCCAGACTGATAATGGGAAGTTTCTTCATTGTTCATCTATTTCTCTACTTGCATTCTTCCCCCACATGACAAAACTATTACTTTCCTCACTTGGTGTTACACAAAATGGCTATTTGTCACTCTTTTGTTACATACCTTGCTCCTAGCTTGGTTTGCTTACAGGTACAATGGCAAGGACTGCTTAGAAAATCCTGGTTTATTCTGATGATTGCTGGAAGGAGTACTTTATACTAATTAATTTGGGTTTATTGGCTGAGACGTCTTTTGCAGTGTATGTGCCATAATGCAGTTACAAAACTTGGGGAATATAGGCAAGAGGTTACTTCTTCAAGTACATTTGCCATCCTGTATATGGCTGTATTACAAGAAATCCAGCAAAATTCTTCAAGATTTACCTTCTTTCAATATTGCAGACAATGTCGTCATACTTGCAAAGAGTGCAAAGAAAAACTGGGATCGAATGAGAAAGACGGTTCAATTTCTTCGCCATCCTAGTCCCAGGTAGGCAACCTTGAAATTTAAAATAACTTCTCTTGTTATTTTCCATGTGGTGTTCTTTGAAACCTCTGAACAGTATAGTGAAAATAATGGATTTTAATCATGGATTAAAATCTGAGCATTACTCAAGGAAATACTCTCTATCCATGGTTTCTCATTAAATTTTTTTTCTTAATTTTTACCTTACATACCTTTCATGCTAATTTTAAATCCCCCATTTCTGAGGAACTTTTGCTTTAGTTGTCACAGAGTATTGCTTATTCACCTAATTGGAATTTATTTGGATCAACTGCCTATATGAAAACAAATATAATTCCTTTCGATTTCCAACTTTCTTACTTAAGAATCAAATAATGATGGATAATGTTGATATTTAAAAATGCATTGGGATACTGTGAACTAAAAGCAGAGCCAGCTGGGTGTGGGTTTGTTTGTTTTGGGAGGGTGTGTGTGTGTGTAGTTTTTTTGCATCTAGTACAGAGCCTTAGTGGCATGGCATAAGAGTGGTGCTAGAGCAGCCTGAAGTGGTGGGGCAGGGGAAACAGCTCATGGGGTGTTTTCACCCCAGAAAGGGGAAAGTTCCCTTTGCAGAGAAGGAGGATTTGCAGGGTGGAAGGTAGGGGGAGGTGTTTAAAAGCATTTTCACTCTGTGTCTATGAAAAGCAGGCCAGCAGCTGGGCTTTTTAAAAGCATTTTCACACTTTCTGCTTGTGGTAAGCTGGCCTACATTTCTCACAGGCAGGAGAATGTGTGAAAGTGTTTGCAAATAGCTTGGCTGCCTGCAAGAGAGGAGAGCAGAGGGCCCTGTTTGAAAGTCTGCCATGTGAGTTTGTATAGCTCAGAACAGAAATCTGATGCAGAAATTGTGGGATTGAGTCTGGCACATGCTATGTAGTAATTCAGACGAGGGTGTTTAGAATGGTCCCTTTCTCACTCTAAAGTGTGTGCCTGCAGACAGGCTGGAAGGAGGAGTAGCTGATCAGAGCCTGTTTACTTCCCCAGAAGAAAGATTTTGATGGATTTTTACTATGCAACAATACATCATGGCAGTGAGGACTGTCCTGAAAGAAGCCATTAGAATAAAGTCCTGTTTTTAATCAACTTTGCCACTGCTCAAGCATTTTATATCAAGTGCTTGTGCAAGGAGGGCTCAGCCACTAGCAGAAAATGCACTTTGGCTTAGCCCTAGTAGGGTTGCTGCTAAAAGGGGCTGTGCTGCTTTTGTGCCAGCTGTAGAGATCATGGAGCAAGTTGGCTCTCAACATCAGCTCACTGCTCTAGTTCAGTACAAGGAAAGGGGTAAAAAAACCCCAAACTTTTCCGGAGGGTTTCTTGCTAGTGCCAGCACAAAGAAGAGAGTGAGCCAGGCTTAGATAACTGAGTGAATGACACCCTATATCCATTAGCAGTTGTGAGCTTAGTTAAGCCCTTACATTACTGTGCTGATTAAGTGCTTTTGAAGATTTTCTCTTCAATAAATGCTTATGTAGGCCAGTGTCCTCACCTAATTCAAATAAAGACCCCAAAGCATGTTTAATTGGGGACAGTCACTTGCTAGCAACTACCTGTGTAGTGGAATCAAATGTTCATGCTGTTTTTCAGAGCTGCAGCTTGCTGAACCTTAAATCCAAACACATATTCAGCCTTCCTCTGTGAACTGACAATATTTTCTCTGGTGTATAAGTACCAATTAGCTTTTGAATGAATTCCAAATAACCTTTAATACAAAGGAGTGTTGCAGATGGACGAGGGGGAGAATGCAGGGTGCCACAGGCTCCTCTCTTTCTTTTCTTCTTGTAATGGGTCCTGGAATTTCTGCTGTGGAACCTGTTCCCTGTTCCAGCTCACATGTTTCTCGAAGACCTTGATTGCTGCACTTTTTAACAGCAGCTTAGGTCTTTTTGTTTGGTTTTACAAGGGCTTGAAACCCTAGTCAGTAACTTAGTCTGAAAATAATTGTGAGGCTAGTGTATTTCTTTCAAATTTTAACTGCTGGAAGGAAAAAGCCATTATGCGTAGGCCAGAGTGCTATTTTGAATTTGCCAGAAATAAGTTTTGATGGACAGGTTTTGGAAATTTAGGAAGATAAATAGCATTGTGTTGTTTTCTGTATTGTTAAATAGTGAAATAACAACCTCATAAACTTTTATAATGTTTTAATAAAAATTCTTAATTTAGCATGCTATGTTCTAAAAATGTTCAGAGACCTTGCTGAGCCACTGTCCATGCTAAGCATATGGGGCAAGCTGTGGAAAGGGATGGACTAGACTCCTTGTTCTTTTTTGCCTATAAGACTGTGTATTTTTCCATGTGATGTTTGGTCTCTTGGATTCTTAGTAGCTCAAGAATTCCTGTCTCAACAGGGATTTTAATGGTGGTCTAGCTAGGAGGGTAACCCAGATAAAATGATACCTGTGTTTATGAGTCCAAAGGTAATGTCTTTTATCCTCAGGGATTTGGAGCATTCTCAGAAATCACCGAGAAGCTGCACATTTCACACTGAAGGCAAAGTGCCACTCAGTCCTTTTCTTCCATTTACACATGTGGAGAAGATGATAAAAATCTTACGGTTCGGGTTCTTTCAAGGCACTTTTCTGTAGAGAAGAAATAATAATGTTCTGATTCTGTGTCTTTGATTTGCTGTAAATTGGCTGACTTGAAGTAGTTGCATATTTTTACATTGTTCTTTTTGCAATAAGTGGCAGTTTCTTTTAATGCACTTTTTGAAATACACTCCTCTCTTCTCAACATGTTTTTGTTTATTTTCCTCCCTTCCATGCAATTTATCCCTTAGTGCTGAGAAATTAAATTTGTCTATTGTACTTAGATGCTACCAATACTGTGTGTAGCAAGCAAATTGGTCTAGGTGGGAATGTTTGGCTTCTATATCAGATGGAAAGA